GACACGGGTTCGAGCCCTGGTCCGGGAAGATCCCACATGCTGCAGAGCAACTAAGCCCGTGCGCCACAGCTACTGAGCCTGTGCTCTCGAGCCCGCGAGCCACAACTACTGAGCCTGTGTGCCACGGCTGCTGAAGCCCGCGCGGCTAGAGCCCGTGCTCTGCAACAAAAGAAGCCACCACAATGAGAAGCCCGTGCACCGCAATGAACAGTAGCCCCTGCTCGCCACATCCAGAGAAAAGCCCACGTGCAGCAACGAAGACACAACACAGCCAAAAATAAAATAAATAAAATAAAATAAATAAAATTAAAAAAAAAAGAAAAGCCAAGTGATTTGCTTATAAAAAAAAAAAAAGAATCCGTCTGCTAATGCAGGGGACACGGGTTTGAGCCCTGGTCCGGGAAGATCCCACATGCCGTGGAACAACTAAGCCCGCGAGCCACAACTACTGAGCCCGCGTGCCACAACTACTGAGGCCCGCACGCCTAGAGGCCGTGCTCTGCAACAAGAGAAGCCACCGCAATGAGAAGCCCGCGCACCGCAACGAAGAGTATCCCCCACTCACCGCAACTAGAGAAAGCCCGTGGGCAGCAACGAAGACCCAAAGCAGCCAAAAATAAATAAAATTTTAAAAAATTGTTCTAAAATTGGCAAGACTCAACTCTTTTTTTGTTTTGCTACCACTATCTCACTAGATTCATGATGTCAGATTTCCTTGAAATTCAAATGCTGGTCTGCAATACAGGGGTGTGTCGCGCGCGTGTGTGTGTGTGTGTGTGTGTGTGTGTGTGTGTGTGTTCTTGGCTCTGGGAGGGGTTCCAAAACTAGAAATATCCATCACCAAAGTGAAGAATCCAACATTTCAGAACAATAGCAGGAAACTCATCTACATGAGAAGAAATTAAAGCAAACACACCTTGGAGGACTCCAGGGAATCTGAATGATCTCTGCATTCTGCTGGGAATCTGAAGGCCAGCTGCACCCTCCCCTCAGGCGAGGGGCTTCATAATAAGCAGATTCTGAGGATCAGGCTTGGGCCAGCGGCAGGAGCACCCATCAAGGAAACATTTACAGCCAGGCGACCTGGACACGTTTATTGAGACGGTTCACAGGGCCAGTGGGCACTGGGGTTCACACAAACCGGCCGACATGCATGGACCTGGAGCCACGCACCCTGGGGGTACCGCGCGAGCCCCTCACAACATCTGTGCAAAGCCCTTCCAAGGCAAAGGGAAATCCAAGGCCCCACAGCCCATCCCCCCGGGTGACCACCTTGTCCAGAACACCAGGCAGGACAAACGCCGGTAGAGAAGGCCTTCCCCAGCTCATCTCTGAGGCACTACCCACCTGTGGGTTCTAAACGCTTCTCCAAACCCTGTGGGCCCATGTGAAGCAAGGGGGATAATCATAAAACGCATCCACAACAATAAAACAAAACAAAACAAAACAATCTGCGTGGCACACAGATTTCATTTCCCGACATCCCTGGCAGCAGGACCGCAGGGCTCACAGACGCCTTTGGCAGCTGGGGGCTCGGCGCGTTGCCTCCCCGACGTCCACAGGAAAATAGTCCTCGGTTCTGTACAACGCGGGCAGCTCGAAGGTCGGGGCCGCCGGCGTCCACAGCTTCTGGAATGACAGAAAACCAGGTGCCCCATCAGCCTCGTGAAGCCACTTGTTCTGAGACCCAAGAACTCCAGTTGCAGGAGTTCATCCTGCAGGGAGAATAGCCCAGTTGACCAAAGACTCCATGATTCTTTGGTGACACTGCCTGTGACAGCCAAAGCCGGCCCATTTGAAACGTGGTGGGGAGCTAGGTTGGCAGGGCTGGTCCGTGTCCACGGAGCCCTCCGCAGCATTAGAGAGAACTGGGCTCCGAGGAGGGATGACTGAGAAAGCCAGGTGTACCTCATGCCACCGCGTGCCAGGAAGGGCCTCGAGCCGACAGCGTCGTGGGCCAGGCCCTGGGAAAGCTGAGGTCGGGCCGATGCTTCTTTGAATGTGCACACCCATCTGTGCTGCCTGAAGGCTGGGCCATATGCATGTGTTACTTTGTTTTTTTTAATTGAACCATTTTAAGAAGTGCTTACTTATTTCTGGTGTGGATTTTTGTTGCAGGGAGGTTAGGGAGCAGAGATTTTGCATCAAGCAACCCTCCCCAGGCTCTAGTAACCCTGCGGGTTACCCAGGCATCTCAAGGTCAAACCAGTTTTACAGAGGACGGCCTCAAACAACGCTTCTCAAATGTGACTGCACAGGAACCTCCTGGGAGAGTTATGGAATGCTTATGCCCAGGCTCCGCCCCCAGAGCCTGATGTCGTTGGTCTGGGGTGTGGCCTGGGCATCGGGGTATTTTAAAGCTCTCAGGTGATTCTCACGTAGAGCCAGGGCCGATCCCAATAACTGTGACCTGCTCGGAGGAGGGAGGGTCTGCTAGGCTCCGGGGCGGACCAGCAGGGAGATGGGCAGGAGTGTGAGGCTCCAGGGGTGCAGAGAGAGGAGGGCTCTGCACGTCTCCACCTGGGGTCCCTCTCACCACCCTTCCGCCCACCCTCCACAGCTCCGTCTACTGTTTGATCTCCAGGCCACCTCTGCCCGCTCAGCCCGGAGCAAGCTCTGCCCCAGCCTTTAGCTGCAGTCACAGGTGCCAGCGCACAGGTGTGTGGCTCCAGCCCGTAGTTAATAACAGCTCCCCCAAAGCCCAGCCCGTCCACGAGCTCTGCGCTGCACTGGGTGTGTACTTACCCACCCCTATGCTTGTTCCCCACAGTGACACCGTGACCATCCCCTGCTTCGTGGGTGGTTGGGGGAGACTACGCTCCGGCAGGTGCCTTAGCCACGTCCCACCTGTCCGAGTATCTGTCCAGTATCAACCACTATCTCATTGAATGCCCAGGGATGGCCGAGGGCACAGCTGAGAAGCTGACGCATCCCCAGCCATCATGAGCCTCCCTGTCTATCTGGAGACAAAGGAACCAATAGGAAAACACCACCAATGTGCACTGAAGCACCAAGGCCCCTGGAACCCAGAAGAGGCCCATCTCATCCTGGAGGGATCAGGAGGTACTCAGAGGCTAAGCACCTAGGACCCCAACCCCCCGGCCGGAAGGGCTGCGTGGAGGGGTAGCGGGAGGTGCAGTGGTCCAGGCTGCGGACACCCTGTGCACAGTGCTGAGTGGTGTGCTGGGCCGCGGGCACTGCAGCCGCTCAGTGTGGAGTCAGGCCGGGTCAGAGTGTAGACAGGGATGACGCTGCAAAGCAGGGCCAGATGATGTGGGCTCCTGGAGGCTGAGCTAAGAACTTTATCCTAAGAGACCAGGGACCGAGAGAGAGAGAGAGAGAGAGAGAGAGAGAGAGAGAGAGAGAGAGAGAGAGAGAGAGAGAGAGAGAG